ACAGACCTATCCAAGTTACATTACATTACATTAGCTATGTGAAGTACCGCAATTGAGTGAAAAAAGAGATTAGAGGTTTTACATGCTTGAAAATGTTTTATATGATTTTATTTTTAAATTCTCATTTGAATATGCTTTACATCTTATGTTTATGTATTTTAATTTTAAATAATAGGTTTTTAAAACATTATTTTAAAATTTAAGTTTATATTTTTTAGTAATATTATGTTCAATATTTTTTTTGATTTTTTCGCATTTTTTTTTACTTTTAGCATTTTATTTTATATTTTTGCACCTTGCTTCAAAAAGGCGCACGCCTTGCCTTTCGCCTTGCGCCTCAGGCGCAAATTAATCCCTGTGCCTTTTTTGCGCCTTGCGCTTTTACCAGCAAGTTTAACAAGGTTAGATGCATATTTTTGCTGACAAATAAAATTCCCTTGATCACTACGATGAACTTCCAATCCCAGGAAATAGGTGAGAGGACCCAAGTCCTTCATGTGAAAGGAATTATGAAGTAACAATTTCAATTCACGAATACCTTCTCCTAGTCAACAACATGTAATCAACATACAGTGGGAGAATGGTAATATCCTGAGGTTGTCGCCTAACAATGAGAGAGTGATAAGAGGAACTCTGGCTATATCCAGTAGCAACTACAACATCTCGAAAGCGTTTGAATCATGCCTGGGGAGCCTGTTTTAGACCATATAGAAATTTTTTGAGGCGACATACGAAAGAAGAATCACTGCAGTATCCAGGAGGGGGCTTCATGTATACCATCTCCTTCAACTGACCATGAAGAAAGTCATTCTTCACATTAAACTGGCATATGGTCAAAGATTGGGTAGTAAACAAAGCTAACATAACACGGACAATGGTGATCTTTGAAACAGGAGCAAAGATTTCTTCGTAGTCGATGCCATACTCTTGACTATATCATCGGGCAACTAAACGGGCCTTGTATCGAGCAAGAGATCCATCAAATTTTAGCTTAATGTTGTTAAACCCAACGACTCCCAACAATGGAGGCATCTGGAGTAGGCCCAAGGTCCCAGGTGTCATTTTCATGTAAAGCATGAATCTCTGCATCCATGGCTTCCTTCCAATTAGGACTACTATTGGCTTCCTAGTAAGAGTGAGGAATATCTGTGGAAGATAGAACAGTAGACAAAGAGTTATGGTTTAAAGGGAAATCATAACAGTCAGGAGGTCAAGATTTACGAGTAGAACGATGAAGGGGAACAAAAGTATGATGAGTATCTGAAATAGAGGTATCACTTATAGGAGAAGTGGTAAGATGATGATCTGAACCGGGAGGAAGGAGAGTCATAGGCACAAGGGCTGGAGCATGTAACCGCTTGTGAGAGAAGACGAGAAGGCCCTTCTTAGTAGAAGGAGATGGAGCATCCTATGAGTCAAAGTCTGGCAAAACAGAAACAAACGGTGCAAACAGTCTAGCAATTCTGGCAAAAAAAGAAATGTGCTCAAGGAAAACAACACTATGTGATGTACAAATGCGATGAATAAAGGGATCATAACAAAGAAATCCTTTGTGGTTAGGACTGTAACCCACAAAGGCACACATGACAAACTGTGCAGACAATTTAGAACGTTCACGAGGGGGAAGATGAACAAAGCACACACACCCAAAAACATGAAGCATAGATAAATCTGGAGAACAACCAAACAACTTTTGAAAGGGAGACATATTACCAAGAACAAAGGAAGGTATATAGTTGATTAAAAACACAGCTGTATTGGCTGCCTTTACCCAAAAAGGTGGAGTATGGGACTCCTGTAATAATATCCTCACAACACTAAGGATATGTCCATTCTTGCACTCAACCACACCATTCTGCTGAGGAGTATCTGGACAACTTCGTTGCACTTGTATTCCATGATTTATCAAATAGAACAAAAAATCTCCATTAATGTATTCTCCCCTTGAATCCGAATGGAGAATACGCACTTGGGATTGAAACTGAACCTGTACTTAGTTAAATGTTGGGAACACCTCTGACTTGTGGTGGAGAAAGTATATACACGTGTACCTAGTACAATCATTAATGAACGACACAAAATATTTGTATCCAAGACGAGAATTGACGGATGCAGTCTATAGACATCACTATGTATAAGCTCAAAGGGAGAGGTAGCATGCTCAGACACATGAGGAGATGGTTAAGTATGACTCTTACTTAAACAACAGGAAACACAAGATGTATCAAAGGTCTGCAATGAAGGAACTCTATTCTTAATAAGGCCTGAATCAAACAAAAATTTTAATTTCTCAGCATGTATATGACCCAAAAGTTTATGCCATAAGTCCCAAATAAAAAAATGTGGAATACAGAAAGTATTCTACACTTGAATCAGATCCTAGCTACATCTATCTTCTCCCAGTTTCTGTTCATGTAGTCAAATTTTGAAAATTTCCCACATCGCCAACCCACTATCTTGAATGTATTTGAACACCAGGCATGAAGGGGAGTGCCTTGAACTCCTACCCAGATCACTCTTCTGCCTCATGAACTGCCCCTAAATCAGGAAGCCATTTGCTCAATGTTACTTCAGGCTTTTGACTTTGTTCTCTTTCCAATTGAAGAACCCAATCTGTTGCATCCCTGTTATGGAACATGAACAGAACAAACCACCATTTAAGCTTTGAACCCCAAAAACTCTTTCCTTATCCTATTCAGATGCCGCCCATTCCTCCACCTTACTGGCATATATGGATTAGAACTAACAGATCTTCCTACTAGATCTTCAGTCTATCGTAAAATATTCCACCTACTTGCACTGTTGCTTGAACAACATGATCCTTGTGACGAAACCTTCCCCCATTTTGTCTCAGGACCTTACAATTCAAGCTCTATAACCTCAAGCCTTCCTCTATTTTCTATTGTGTCTTGGGAGGTCATTCTGGGTCTTAACATACGAGAAATGTACAGAAAATATTTCCAAGAGTATAATAGTATTTTCTTTTTTTCAGTCTGGATTGTAGGAACAGGATATGCATTAAAGAAACAAAATGATCATAATTATTATGAAAACATCAGAGGTGTAGAGGTGTAGGGTATACAAAAGAAGTATAAAAAAGAGGCAGCCCAGTGCACGAGGCCCCTTCCAATGTGGGGTCTGGGGAGGGACAGATGTGTGCTGCCTTACCCCTGCACATACAGAGAGGCTGTTTCCCAGATTTGAACCCTGGTCACCCAGGTTGCAATGGAGCAATCCAACCATTGTGCCAAGGCCCATCCTCATACATAAGAAACATCTATTTCACTTTATTTTTCTTTGGTCAGCTTGCTCTTGAACTTCCTTTAGCTTGGCTATGGTTCTGCATTTGAGCTGAGTTGACTCGTTATTGACAAGGCTGACATTGTTCTCCATATCTTCTGATTATCTTGCTGATTCTTATTGTCAGTGGGTTTCTTCTTCGTACTTTGTTTTAACTAGAGTTTGTGGGATAATAGGCTCACTGACTGATGCAGGAACTAAACTGAAGAGAGAAATAAGTTCTAGAAGTCAATGTAAAACCGAGAAGGATCTAAGTGAAGTTTCACAAAGCCTGAGTGGCATATATAGTGTGCCAGCCTGGGTCAAATCTCTCTTGGTCGTGCAAGCCTGGTTTCTAGGTTCTCATGGATCCTTTACTGGGTGAATTTTTGGAACTTATTTCTATGGGTCCAACACCACTTTGTTAGTCGGTTGCTTTTATTTTCCAGATGCATGCGACCAGCATTGGGTGATGGTTTTCTTTTTTTTTTTATTTATTTTTTTTAAGCCAGGTGATGTCCATTTTTATTTCTTTTATTTTCATTTTCTATGTATTCAGGGAAGTTTACTCAAGTGTCCGAGTTTTTAAGCTTCCATGTATCCTTATTATAGTAATAACTGGTCAGTTACGATTTTGTTTAGGAGGGGTATTAACCCTTTATAACACATAAAATCTGAACCCTGTATTCTGTAAAGAGTGTTTGATGGATCAATGAAATTGCAGGAAATTTGCTTTGTTTTATCTTTGTGAATCTTCATTAAGGATGATGTTTTGTCAGACCATGGTGAGGAAGTGTTATATTAGGATTAATGATCTTACAATGGTGGGCATTTAGTTTAAATAAATAAACAGATTATTTGCATTGAATTAAGTTTGCTTTAGTTGAGTCAGGATTAATGTTGCCCACAAAAGTGAAAATTCAGTTGGTTTCAGTTCAATTAAAATTGTTAACTTATCCAGTTTCCGTGAGGAGCTGACATTGTTTTTTTGGTTTGGTAGGGAAAATGTCAGGCTTTAACTTTTATTGCATCAGCAAAAATGAAAAATTTACAGCTATAGACTACAGCCAAAACCGGATTTTACATGTGCTTAAGCCTTAAGCTGGCTCCTCTCCCTGGAAGGAATTCACTGCTCTGATCTTGTCTAGTTCGGCTTCAGTCAGTGCTAGTCCATGCTCACACCCTTCGAACAGCCTCCTGCAGCATTGCATTGGGAATATCTCCCCATGAAATAAAACACGTCAGTATGGAGATATTCCCAATGCAAGGCTGTAAAAGCTGTTGGAATGGACGTTGCACTGACTGAAGCCGATCTCGATCTTGTCGTGAAAGACAAGTATATGAATTACGAAGTTGTACTGTTGGGCTGAAAACTGTTCCCAGCTGTTGGTCGAGAACACATCATCAGCTTTTTGGGGAAGAAAAACCCTTGAAGTTGAAGGATGAGAGGCTTTCGCTGATGTCAACATCCCTCTCCACTTCAACGATCGTATCTAACATCTTTGATAGTCGATGCCTCATTATAGAGAAATTGTGGTGGTGCAACCTCTGTTACGAACCTTGTAATTCTTGAATTTGCCATTTTCTCGTCTGTGTTTAGATTGAAAGATGAAGATAGGATAGAAAACTAACAGCACAAAGTATTTCCAAGGAGAAGGAAAGAACTCAGAGAGAGAGAATGAATTGCAAGGAGTTATTTTTCCACACAATTTATAGACTTGTGCGTTCCTCCACACAATTTATTACGGGCGGTCTATACTTGCTCACACATATTAAAAGTTGAATTCTATTTAGACGCTTTCCTTTCACTTTTTGCATTTATTGCTTGAAATTGCCGTCCATTTGAGGGAAACTCTAGGGAGCCACATGTTGTGATGAGATTAGAAACATTTCTTTTCATAGAGTGATCTACTTTTGTCTCTGGTTCCTTGCTTTCCAAGTTTTTGTGCAGCCTATGCAAGGTTGGTGTGGACTGTGGACACCACATCCGTGGTGTTCTTTTTTTCACTACATATAGAAAGAGTAATCACTATTCTCTGTTCTGATTTCATGGGTGTTCTTTTTTTTCATTCATTGATTTTGGGTTCTGTCAACATTCCAATACAATTTTCCTTAGTTATGTTTGGTTTGAAGGAAATGTAGGAAACCTTTGCAAACCATATAATGGTTTTGTATTTCCCTTCCTTTCTCTACATTTTCCTTCAAACCGAACATAGCCTTAACTTTATGTGACGGTGTGGAATCAATGCAGATCTACTATCAACTTTGTCAAAAGATCTGTGTTTTTATTTTTTATTAAAAAAGAAAATTAAAAAGGATAAAATCCGACCAAGATTTTTAAAACCGAATCAGATAGGGAACCGTTCTAGGGTCTGGTTCCTGGGTTGAACAGTCTGACCGTTCAAATCGAACGGACAGCCTGTTCTGACAAAAAAATAAAAAATAAAAAAATGTAAAGAGTGGCAAAAAAACTGTTGTCCGGCTTGATGAGTTGACAGTTCAACCGCCTGGGTCAGCGGTTTACTGACCAAATCAGTGGTTTTTCACCAAAAAGCAGTTCTAGGCTGAAATGAAACTGATCAGGTGATCGGTTCCCAGTTTTTCTGATCGGACCATCCAGTCTGGTCTGGTTTTGAAAACATTGATTCAGACAGCCACCCTGTATTTAGGGGCCCTAGTGACACAGCTCCTCAAGCTTTGTTTTGCAATGAGAGTGTAGACCCCCCTCACCTTCTAGATTCCAGCACTTTGCCACTGCTGTAAGGTTTTGCACTTTAGATTTGGTCAAAAGACGCATTGAGCTTTTGCTTGAAGATCTGAGAAGCTCGAAGCTAGTTTGGCTACTGCATTTTTCTGTGCGAGAATAAAGTGAAAAAAACATGAAAATCTCCATTTGGAGCTTCCCGAAATCAGCCCAAAATGGGCTTTTCGTGTCTTTTTGGCGCTCTGGCTTTTGACGGTTAGATCTTTCGTGAACCAAATGGAAATAGATCGAAAAATGGTCTTCTAGACTTTTAAACAGATGAAGACGACGCGGAAAGACTTACCAAACGAGCCCTAATAGTTTTTCTAAAATTCTAACTGGCATGGTTTTCTCAACTTTCTTCATTTTAATATTTGTTTTTGTGAATCCATAGAATCTCAATTGGACAATTTGTAATTTTATTTTCATCAGGGGGTAAAGTGCTGAAATCTAACAAATTCTGGAGGGGGGTCTTTCAGTCTTTGTTGCATAACAAAGTACAGGGGGGCTAAATGTTACCACCCCTGTAATTTATCCAAAAAAATTTAACTCTGCAAGGTCTCAATCAAGAGACTCTTCCAAGTCTACAAAGATATCCATGTTTTGAGTTTTAGTTTTGATTTGGTTTGGGTTCTGCTGGTACAACAAAATAATATGTAGGTTTTCATAATTAAGATGCCTCCCTCAATCAACTTATGCATTAATCAAAACCCCTGTGCAAATTAACCAAAACCTTTCCTCGAAGCTTCAGTGGACAGTCTTACTCCTATCTCATCTCATGCTTCCCCAGCCGTGAGGGAAAACTAATTGACAACCTTTTAGTTTGAGCACGTGAACAACCATCTATCTACCATGTTTATACTTGTATTTGATGCTTGAATCAACAAAAGTTCGGACAATTTGGGGCCTTCTAGAGTAGGCATATCAACACACTTAAAATACAATATATGATTATAGTAGGTAGGTACATCCCACCATGTATTGGAAATATTTCCCGTGCTTATGTTCCCAAAACATGATTGGATGTTCCTGTGAGGCCGGTGTGAGATGCATTCTGTGAGAAACAGATCCTAATTCATTAAATTATAAGCGAAACCATGAGACTTATGCCTGACAAAGACCCGAGCATTAGATCAAAATCTGTGTACCTTGTTTTAAGGCATTTATCTCACGACTCAAAAAAAACCGTGGCTACAGTTAAAGCAGCTAATCAAGCATGTGGTTAGTTTTTTTACCACCACCACCACAATCTCTCTCTCTGTTAGATTAAAAAACCAAAATGGTCACTGTGGTCATGATCTTACTAATTAACCCATTCAAAGCATAAATAAAAGCATCATTTAACCAGGATACAGAGAGATCATCGGGCCACATCACTGGCTCAACCAGGGTCCAAGTTCAACTCAGACCATCCATTGTGTAGGGGATGTCTTTACTTCATTACCAACCCACATTAAATATATACTTTAGTAACTTTACCATGTTACTCCAAAGTTGCCAGGACACAGAATCCTCTACAATTCCTGGGTGATATTTGGCCAATCATGATATGCCATGTCAACCTGATATATGGAACCCGCATATGTCAAACTAATGTGGTGGAGAGGGTGGAGGGGGAACTTTAGATGATTTAATCTCTATGAATAGAATGTAGAAGGGGGAACATGTAGACCCTATAACAGATAAGAGATATATTATATATACATGATGTTATTGAGTTGGGTTAAGTGGTAACACTTGGCTTTGATCAGGTTTTGATTAATGCATGATATATTATGCATTAATATATAAACCTATGCTGAACCCGACCCACAAATATGCATCTCATGAAGCTTTAGCTTTGGAATAGAATCATGTCTCATGTTTCCATTTCCATGAAGGAAAACATATTGAAAACCTTTCAGATTGGAAACGTGAACAACCATACATCTGCCATGCTCATGCTTCTATATTGAAGCTTTGATAAGAGATTGAAAATCTGAGGCCATTCGGGAGATCCTTGTTGAATCTTTAGTGATAAGTTTTAAATCTAGAAAGCACCTGTATGGTTTGGGATTTGACTAATTCTATCTTTACCGTTTACATATTATCTTAAAATATCTCCAAATTTTTTGATAATTGATATCGCCGTTAAATACTAATGAAAAAAATGAAATGTTGAATTTATCCTCCACTATTTCTCATATTTTCAAAATAAAACTTACCTGATGAAAATTTTCTTGGGTGCATGCAGCCGGTACACTTACACTTGATCTTGTATAGCTCTGGTACCACAGCTCTATATGCCAACAAATGGACTCACCTGAAGATCTCGCAACTTTCAGCATCCGATCCAATCGCTATTTCGAAGACTAATAAATGCACAATTAATTGAAACTAGTGAGGTTGAAACTAAGAAATGATCAAATAAAATTAAAAATTAGCTTGGTTGGTGCAAGATTTGTATTTGGACAAAACGTTTACAAATAACATACAATTTTCATAGGCATGGTGAAGTTGCATGTAGAGTAAATAGAAGTTGTTTGTTGTTGCCTTTATGACTAATTCCCTCTCTGAGTACTCTACCTTTATTAATCTGCAAAAAAAAAAAAAGAAAAATAGCAACCAAGTGGTGAGAAACTATTTGACTCTATATGCAACAAAAACAACTAATGGAAAAAAATTAGATTACTATGCCAAACTCACCAACTTATTGCATGGTTGTAAAATTAACACCCAAAAAGTAGAATAATGTATACAACCAATTTAGTTGGTCTTACCTCAAGGAAACTAAGATAACTAAGCATGATGGCCTCCAATAAGAATAGACCCATTTGGATATTTTAACTGTTTAGCATATTAGAATTTGGGCCTAAGGATATTAAGATAAATCAAAATGTGGTATGCAGAGAGACTACTAACTATTTATTTTGGGTTCTATTATCGAAATTTGATCAGCAGACCAATTAGATACTCTAGAGTTTAGTGGAATATGTTCATTTAAATGATCAGCACAATAA